GTGAAGTAGAGGCACTCAGCATCGCCACTGCCATCAAGCATTTCAGTCCCTATAATTATAATCCAGTCGACCCAGCAAACCTGTTTATTAACGGTCAGCAAACCATGTATACAGGCGATCGAGAAGTTATGCTGTGGAGAGTTTTCCGCAAGCCCCCGTGTAACATCTTTTCTCTCTATTGTCAGTCGATATGCAGTCTTTGTCCAACACCTTGCAGGATCAGCCAACATCCCCATTCGACTCAAGGACAACCACCAATGCAACATAATCCACTTAAAAACAACCATCAACACAATCAACTCAAGACAACCACCACCAACATAATCCACTCAAGGACAACCACCAACATAATCCACTCAAGGACAACCACCAACATAATCCACTCAAGAACAACCCCTAACATAATCCACTCAAGGACAACCACCAACATAATCCACTCAAGGGCAACCATCAACATGATTTCACTCAAGGACAACCATCAACATCATCCACTTAAGGACAACTATCAAAATAATCCGCTCAAGGACAACCATCAACATAATACACTCAAGGACAACCACTAACATTATCCACTCAAGGGCAACCATCAACATAATCCACTCAAGGGCAACCATGAACATAATTCCATTCAAGGACAACCATCAACATAATTCCACTCCAGGACAACCCCCGACATAATTCAAGGACAACCATCAACATAATTCCACTCAAGGACAACCCCCGACATAATTCACTCCAGGACAACCATCAACATAATCCACTCAAAGACAACCACCAACATAATCCACTCAAGGACAACCACCAACATAATGCACTAAAGGACAACCATTAGCATAATCCACTCAAGGACAACCACCAACATAATCAACTCCAGGACAACCACCAACATAATCCACTCAAGGACAACCATCAACATAATCCACTCAAGAACAACCATCAACATAATTCCACTCAAGGACAACCACCAACATAATCCACTCAAGGACAACCACCAACATAATCCACTCAAAGAAAACTGTCAACATAATCCACTCAAGGACAACCACCAACATAATCAACTCCAGGACAACCACCAACATAATCCACTCAAGGACAACCATCAACAAAATCCATTCAAGGACAACCATCAACATAATTCCACTCAAGGACAACCACCAACATAATCCACTCAAGGACAACCACCAACATAATCCACTCAAAGACAACTGACAACATAATCCACTCAAGGACAACCATCAACATAATCCACTCAAGGACAACCATCAACGTAATCCACTCAAGGACAACCACCAACATAATGCACCACAGATATTTGTAAATTAACGATGTTAGGAATACGTTACAGTGCGCACATGCATTGCTTTTTGCATCTAGAAACATCCTTTTTTGGTAGAAAACGGCAAGTATACAGGGTGTATCGAAAAAATGGTAACACAAATGTGACGCGCTATATCTCAACAAATCGTTGATAGATTTCATCGAGTTTTACATCATTGGAAAGCTTAGTTATTTAGCTTTTAAATGCTATGTTTTATGTGGCATTTCGACAAGAAACCAGTGAGCAGTGCTTCGGCAAAAGTTTTAAGTGAAAATTGCATATTTCCACCGATGGGAATTAATGAGACAATTGATATGCATTTTTAATCAATAATAACAACAATTTACAATGTTAAAAACGCACGATTGTTTTACATAATTACGGTCATGCAGTGTTTATGCTCCGACACCTTCCACGTGTCCTCCGTTTCTTTCAATGCACAGTTCACAACGCCGTCGCATGCTCTGCACCGTCCTTCTGACGAGTGCCTGATCGTTGACCAACACAGTGACTTCCCGATGAATGCGAGCTCGCAGGTCATCAATATCGTTGGGAGGGTTGGTAAAAACTTTGCCTTTCAAATAGCCCCACAAGAAGAAGTCACACGGCGTGAGGTCGGGAGAACGAGGTGGCCATTCCACTGCATGATGTAACGCAACAATTCGATTGCCGAACAATTCTCTTAGGCGTTGCGTAACAGCACGGAGACGATGTGCAGGAGCACCATCTTGCACCCACCAAAGATGCCTGAATACGCCTCCCACTTGCATTTCAAAATGCTCCAAAAGCTGCGGAACAACATCATTGTTAAGCATTTGCAAATAATTGAGGCCGGTGACGTTCCTTTCGAAGAAAATCGGACCAATAATCTCACCACTTCCACACAAACCTATCCAAACTGTCACCTTCTGACGGCTGCAATTCACATCGTAGTTGAATTCTGGCGGTTGACCTACTGGAGCATATTCCCGGACATTCTGAGTATTGTCATCACCATTCATACAGAATGTAGCTTCATCACCAATGACAAAATCTCGCAGGAAATTTTCGTTTCTCTCGCATCGTTCGGTCAACCACCTTGCAAAATTCAACCGTCTTTGAAAATCGCGTGGTAGTAGCTGGTGTCGGACGTGCATTCGATACGGGTATTGTCTCAGGTCCAAGCGGGTTATCCTGTTAAAAGTTGCCGATGGTAGGCCAACACCGTTACGTCTTGCACTGGTACCAGTCGGATGTTCTGCGAGCCGATTCCTCACCAATTCAATGTTTTCTGCAGATCTGCCAGTCTTTCTTCTGCCAGAATTCCCCTTGTTTCGGTTATGACTGGTGCCATGCTGTTCAAACTTTCTTATGTTATATCGGATGGTCTTAATTGCTATGTCTTGTCGTTCAGGAACTCTCTCTCTAAACGCATCTCGTGTTCTTGCTAAGCTGCCAAGGTGAAAAAAGGTTTTCCCAATAAATGTACGTTGTTCAATTGTCAATTGACCCATCTTCTTTTATTTTGTCGCGTGCTAAGTCATGCATACTCGCACTACGTAAATCAAATTCTAATAATAATCGGCGATGATAGGGTTTTAAACCTCTTGGGACTAAATTTCAAAAGAAACGTGTGCAATTCCCATCGGTGGAAATATGCAATTTTCACTTAAAACTTTTGCCGAAGCACTGCTCACTGGTTTCTTGTCGAAATGCCACATAAAACATAGCATTTAAAAGCTAAATAACTAAGCTTTCCAATGATGTAAAACTCGATGAAATCTATCAACGATTTGTTGAGATATAGCGCGTCACATTTGTGTTACCATTTTTTCGATACACCCTGTAGAGTAGCAATTCACTATAGCCTACAGTCTATAATAAACTACTACAATATATACATCATACACTGCTAGTCTATTATTTGTAAATTAACGATGTTTAAGAAAACGTTACAGTGCGCACATGCATTGCTTTTTGCATCTAGAAACATCTTTTTTTGGAAGAAAACTGCAAGTAGGGTAACAATTCACTATAGCATGCAGTCTATAACAAACTACTACAATATATACATCATACACTGCTATTCTATGAATAGTACAATAAATATTTGGATTTCAGTGTATCTTATTAGAGAGTGTTAATGTTAAATAACATGTAGGAAAATTTTTGGGGTAATTTACCTTCTGAATAATGAATAAGTAGAGTGTAAAATATTTAGTCCAAGGTTTGCATTCAACTTCATCATTGACATTGTCTACCAGTTTAGCTTGATCTACCGGTGGAACAATATGTCTCAAATGACCTGCTTATTCCATCATGCTGTTATATTTAGGGATAAATTTAATCCGTAGAATTTATTAGGTCGTATACAAGTACCTAAATGAGAATTTTTATCTTTCCTCTCATCAGGATTGCCATGCTCTCCATTTTCTTTATGTTCACCTTTGAATGTCATTCTTGCATCCTCTTCAGCCCTTGCAAATACATCCTTGCTGTTGTGGTCATGTAAACTTTCAGCTCTGGCTGCAATCATTGCATCTTTCTTAGCAAACTTTACAAACATATTTCCTAAAAACAAAAGAATCAACCTTAATTTTTCATCCATGAAGTCAACTTCCTCCTCACTCAAAACTACATATGTACGAAACAATTTCATATTTACTAAAAATTTTCTTCTCCTTTGCCCTATACTCAACGATTTGTTTTTTTGCGATAGCGTAATAAGTTCTAGCATCCTTATATTTTAGGTCCAGTTTAATAGCTTTTTGGAACTGTTCAAGTGCTTCATCTGGATAATGCATTGCTAGTTTTGCCTTACAAAACAGAGAATTATGTCAATAAATTAAACTAAATGCAAAGACATGACATTAGGAAGAAGTGCCATTATATATATTGCTTTCACATTATTTTTGTCTCAATATAAAGCCTAATCAAGAAGAATGAAATATATGCTTAATTTAATTTCATATGGGATTGTGATATGCAAATATAGTTTTGAATTGGAACTATGCTGATATTGTTTTTAATTAGAACTATGCATAATTTCAAAATTTAGTTTTGGCACCTTATCACAAGATTCAATGCACTCCATATATTTTGCTAACTTGAGGTAACATAAAGCAACATTTAGATGTCCAGCTAAAATCAAAGATGATGCTTGCTTCAAATCTTTTTCCTCAACCAAGCTTTTTACCAATGAAACCATCCGTGTGAACTTGCCCAATGCTAATGAAAACTTCTCTTCTTAAAATAGCAGAGAAAATCAGCAACGAATCACTTAAATTTAGCTTAAAACTTTAAAACTATGATTTGCCAGATACAATCACTTTGTATATATACTAATTAAAAACTGCTTTATAGCTTAATTATTTTACCTTAAAATGTATAGTCCCTTTTTCTCTCACCAACTTAGCTCCATCAATTCTTTCCTCAAAACTTAATTCCCAGAATTCCTTCAGCTAGATTTTACAACAAATGTACTATTATTAGTAAAAATGCCACGACTGAGAAGATCTTTAGATTTCTTTACTCTCCTGATAAGTACTTAGCTAATATTCACATACAGTATTCAAATTCTTAAACGGATGAAGCATTTGATGCACCTGTTCAAAGGACTTGAGATGTATTTCATATTCAACTGACATGCCAGGGTTTATCCCCCATTCGTTTTTCCCTTTTCTTTAAAAGCATACGAACTGTAACAATTAACCAATGATATTTCATCTTTTTTCATGGTTTTAACAGCGGCGTCCACCTCTGGTATAACATCAGACTCACCAGCTTTGATATGTGTATTCATAGTTTAAGAAATCAAACGGGGTATTTTAATGTTAGAACTATTCCCATTTCATGTGTACATTGCAATATCAAATAGTGTGAACAATTTTTATCTTCACCAACAATGAACTGCACATCGCGTTCATCAAAGATTCTCTTGTCAATTTTTCCAACCAGATGAACTAAAATTTTAAAAGATCTGAGTATTTCTATGTAATGATCATTGATTAGAAACATTGGAAATATTTTAATATATAATTTCAAACCTTGCACAGTCCCACCATCACAAACACGATCAGTTCCTTTGCCTCTTTTCACAATCTTTTTGGAAACCAATGAATCTAGTGTAACTTTTTCATCCTCCCAACGTAACAGTTCAATTTCATATACAAGGGATGAGTTCTGTGGTATTGTTGGGGGTTTGCCAGGTTTACCATAGGCATATTCCGGCTTGCAGTTTAGTGTACATATCTCACCTTTTTTCATTGTCTCTACACCTAGCTCCCAATCAGATGTTATATGCCCTGAATCAGGTTTAAGAAAAATCTTTATCAGATTCAGACAAGCTTTATCATGTTTTTCTTACTCATTGCATGGAACCAAAGTGCAATGCACATATAGCCAATAAGGAGATAAAATCTTAATAGGAAAGAAAATTTAATGAAACTAGGTCTGTAAAAGCTATTTCTCCCTTCATTGTTTTCTTTAGCACTAGGGCACCCCCAGAAACATGCATGTCTCAGTAGGTTTTGTTCCATCAAACTTACATTTCATAACTTCAGCTTCCTCAAGACTTGAAGTCAGCTCAACGCTGCAGTCTGTGCATACACTTGCACAATGACCACATTGACATCATTATGAAAAAATTTTTCATTGTCCTTTAGTTGCCCTTTTAGTTGTCCTTTTAGATCCTTTTTAGTTGTCTTTTAGTTGTCCTTTTAGTGGTCCTTTAGTTGTCCTTTTTTGGATGTCCTTTTAGTTGTCCTTTTGGTTTATTTTTAGTTGTGCTTTAGTTGTGCTTTTGGTTTTCTATTTGGTTGTCCTTTAGTTATCCTTTTAGTTGTCCTGAAAGGGCGGCGCTCTCCTTTAAAAACCAGCCCGAAACCCTGTGCTTTGGTTGAATTGAGCGCAGATAACTGGTAGAAGGTTGACAATTCCGATACTACAGGTAACACATTACTTTCATCCTCTGCAGTTTCGTTTATGCAAGGGGCATCGGCATCTCGAAATGGACTAATGGTAAGCGGTTCAAATCTGTTAGTAGGTTTGAGATCTATAATTCCATCTGGAAGGTGGTTGTACTTGAGCACATTGTCTCTTTTTCCAGAGGAGTTAGCAATGCCGCCTAATCTCTTTATTTCGTTCCAGGAACATTCCTTAAGGTGTTCAACTCTGCCCTCGTAGTATTTGGAGCGACAAACTTTGCGTTCGCGATTAACGCAATTGCGTAGGACTCTGTAATTAGCACAATCACCTTAGCTTAAGACCCTTTGGCGCTTTTTGATCAAGTTCTTTAAGACAGGGTTAATCCAAGGCGACTCTGTAGGGTGTACTGTTTTGGCCTTTTTAATTACAGAATCAAGTCCAACCTAGACTATAGTTTGAAATAAGACTATCTTTCCTTCGCAGGAGCTTGCAGAATTGATAATCGCTGGGATATCAACCTGGTCGAGATAAGTGCGCATTGCAATACGGTTACTTGCTCTTACATCTCTATAGATGATTGTTTGTTTTAACTGGGATGTTTTTGCTCTCTGTTTCGGCTGCACTACTACCGAACTGTGTTCGGAAAGCCCAAAAGCTGGTCATTGACTATCTGTTTTAAGTTAAAATTAGATTTTAGTCTTGCATCATTTAGTTGGTTTAGGTCTCCAAGAACAGGTATCGTTACTCGAGATCGATTAAGCAACGTGTTAGGTAATCCAGCATTAAAGAATTACCTGCACTTGAAGAGTGGTAAACAAGACCAGTAATAATCCTTGATACGCCTCTTGGGAGTCGTGTTGGATGAAATTTAACCAACAACACTTCAAGAGAGTTACTTTTGTCTTCTAAGTCTTCAAAAACGGAGAAGGGAATTGAATTCTTTATATACATGCATATTCCGACATGTATACAGGGTGTCCAAAAAAAAACGAAAACTATTGAAATCACCCATAACAATGCCATTGTTAGAGTTTGAAAGCCTAATCAACCTGTTGGGCCCACAAGTGTATAAATCAGGCTTGCCATAAGCATTTATGGGAGCATGCATATGATGCAGTCAAATTTGCTTGTTAATATTTACAATTTACAAACATGGATAACATTATTTAAATCCGCATCTCAAGGACCATGTTGTTCGACATATCCCCTTTCTCAAGTAACACAAAGCATTTAGCATTTTATAAGTTGCATTAAATCCCCACGGGCTGAAATTCGTTAACACGGCATTCAAATTTTAACAATGAGTGATTTCAATGTTTTTCGTTTTTTTGGGATACCCTGTAGTTTCTTTCCTGTCCCTTCGTACGAGGTTATATCCATTTAATGCCACAACAATATTTAGGATGTGATTTTGAAACCAAGTTTCTGTTATGCGAACAAGATCAAACTTTGCATTTCTAATAACATGACAAATCTCGTAGATCTTTGCACTGAGAGACATTACGTTTCAAAGAAACAACGATGGGACGATGTGTAAGGTGAAATGTACACGCAGTTTGTATAGTTGTGGTGACGATGAGTGAATTCGAAATGGAGTTTACGGTTAAACGACCTTCTTAATCAAACTTGAAATATCTCGTGCCGTCGGATCCTTTCTCTCGCTTTTACAAGCCTCCCACCTCTTTTTCCTCGAAAGAGTGGCCAAGAATCTTTTCCAACAGCATCATACAATGAGTAGTTACAGGCCATAGTAATTCAGTAAAGTTGTTCATCGTTCATCATCTCACCTTGAGACATTCGTTCATCATCCCACATTGAGACACTCGTTTATCACTCCCTCCTGCGACATTCGTTCATCATCTCATCCTGCGACAATCGTTCATCATCTCATTCTGAGACATTCGTTCATGATCCTTTTCTGATATTCGTTTCGCTCATCCTCTCATCCTGCAACATTCGTTAATCATCTCATCCTGCGACATTCGTTCATCATCCTTCCTCCGACATTCGTTCATTCTGATCCTGCGACATTTGTTCAACATCTCATTCTGATATTCGTTAATCATCTCATCCTACGATATTCGTTCATCATCTCATCCTGCGACATTCGTTCATTATCTCATCCTGCGACATTCGTTCATCATCCCTTTCTGCGACATTCGTTCATCATCTCATCCTGAGACATTCGTTCATCATCTCATCTTGAGACATTCGTTCATCATCTCTTCCTGCGACATTCGTTCATTCGCATGCTGCTACACTCGTTCATCATCTAATCCTGAGACATCAATTCATCTCTTCTTGAGACATTCGTTCATCATACAATCCTGGGACATTTGATCATCATCTCATCTTGAGAAATTCGTTCATCATCTCATCTTCAGACATTCGTTCATCGTCTCATCTTGAGACATTTGCCCATCATCCTATTCTGAGAGATTCGTTCATCATCTCATCTTGAGCAATTCGCTCCCCTCTCATCTTGAGACATTGGTTCATCATCGAATCCTGAGACATTTGTTCATCATCCCATGCAGAGACATTCGTTCATCATTCCATCCTGAGACATTCGTTCATCATCTCATTCAGCGACATTTGTTCATTATCTAATCCTGAGACATTCGTTCATCATCTCATCTTGAGATATTCGTTCATCATCTAATCCTGAGATATTCGTTCATCATCTCATCTTGAGACATTCGTTCATCATCAAATCCTGAGACATTTGTTCATCATCCCATGCAGAGACATTCGTTCATCATTCCATCCTGAGACATTCGTTCATCATCTCATTCAGCGACATTCGTTCATTATCCCATCCTGAGACATTCGTTCATCATCTAATCCTGAGACATTCGTTCATCATCTCATCTTGAGACATTCGTTCATCATCTCATCTTGAGACATCGCCATCATCCATTCTAAGACATTCGTTCATCATCTCATCTTGAGCATTCGTTCATCATCTATCTTGAGACATTCTTCATCATCTATCTGAGACATTCGTTCATCATCTCATCTTGAGACATTCGTTCATCATCCCATCCTGAGACATTGGTTCATCATCTCATTCTGCGACATTAGTTCATCATCTCATCTTGAGACATTTGTTCATCATCTAATCCTGAGACATTCGTTCATCATCTCATCTTGAGACATTCGTTCATCATCCAATCCTGCGACATTGGTTCATCATCTCATCCTGAGACATTCGTTCATTATCCCATCCTGAGACATTCGTTCATCATCTCATGTTGAGACATTCGTTCATCATCTCATCCTGCGACATTCGTTCATTCCCATGCTGCGACATTCGTTCATCATCCTATTCTAAGACATTCGTTCATCATCCTATTCTAAGACATTCGTTCATCATCTCATCTTGAGCCATTCGTTCATCATCTCATCTTGAGACATTCTTTCATCATCTAATCCTGAGACATTCGTTCATCATCTCATCTTGAGACATTTGTTCATCATCCAATCCTGAGACATTCGTTCATCATCTAATCCTGAGACGTTTGTTCATCATTTCATCTTTAGACATTCGTTTTATCATCTCATTTTGAGACATTTGTTCATCATCTAATCCAGAGACATTTGTTCATCATCTCATCTTGAGACATTCGTTCATCATCTCATCTTGAGACATTCGCCCATCATCCTATTTTAAGACATTCGTTCATCATCTCATCTTGAGCCATTCGTTCATCATCTTATCTTAAGACATTCTTTCATCATCTAATCCTGAGACATTCGTTCATCATCTCATCTTGAGACGTTCGTTCATCATCCCATCCTGAGACATTGGTTCATCATCTCATTCTGCGACATTAGTTCATCATCTCATCTTGAGACATTCGTTCATCATCTAAACCTGAGACATTCGTTCATCATCTCATCTTGAGACATTCGTTCATCATCCAATCCTGCGACATTCGTTCATCATCTCATCATGAGACATTCGTTCATAATCCCATCCTGAGACATTCGTTCATCATCTAATCCTTGGACATTCGTTCATCATCTTATCTTGAGACATTCGTTCATCATCTCATCCTGCGACATTCGTTCATTCCGATGCTGCGACATTCGTTCATCATCTAATCCTGACACATTTGTTTATCATTTCATCTTTAAATATTCGTTTATCATCTCATTTTGAAACATTCGTTCATCATCTAATCCTGAGACATTTGTTCATCATCTAATCCTGAGACATTTGTTCATCATCTCATCTTGAGACATTCGTTCATGATCTCATCTTGAGACATTCGTTCATCATCTCATCTTGAGACATTCGCCCATCATCCTATTCCAAGACATTCGTTCATCATCTCATCTTTAGCCATTCGTTCATCATCTCATCTTGAGACATTCTTTCATCATCTAATCCTGAGACATTCGTTCATCAAAAAACGAGCAAACGTCATGGCGGATGGACACAGTGTTCATAGCTCCGAGTCTACAAATAAAAATCTCATTGACGCCTTTGATTTACTCAATATAAATAAGTATATAACATCGGATAGCATTTCTTACGATGGTAAGCGAATTAAATGGCAGGATAGCTACGAATCCTTGCAAGATTTTGTGGCGAATGCCTTCGGTCAACAAGGCAAGTGGCGGCGGTCAGGAGGCGTTTCAAAGTGTTTTGATGCCCATAGCACAGATCTATCTATGACATGGTATCCCGGAAAG